AAAAAAAAAAAAAGTGTGTGTGTGTGTATGAAGGGTCTTTTTTTTTTTTCGGGGGGGTGGGGGAATCCCCCTAACATGACTCTCGTTTTTCTTTTCTTAGGAATACGTGCAGTGGCCCTAAGGGCATCTACTCACCACATGCACAAAAGACAAAACATATGGCGGCGTATTATTCCATGCTCTGCAGAAGATTCATTCTAGTTTTGCACATTTGATGAGTAGTGCGGCCAAGCCCTGAGAATCACGTGCAGAGACCAACACGGCCTAGGTACGTGAGCAACCCATAACTGTTGAAACACAAACCTGAATTCGAATCTTGAGTATATATTCGGCCAGCTCGTGCTCTACTTCATATTCACTGCCTGCCTTGATTTTGGTGGGGCGGTCTGCGCTCCATGGCTAAGACGTGTTAGGGGGATTCCCCCCCTCAAAAAAAAGACCTTCAGATAGCCCGCATGGGCCATCTAAGACGTGTTAGGGGGATTCCCCCCCCCAAAATAAAGACCTTTCACATATGGCGGGGAGTGATGCGGTAGGGAGGATAGGTCTCCGGTTTTTTTTTTTTTTTGCACTTTCAGGGTTCGTTGAACGAGGCCCACCACCCCATAGTCCGCAATGCGCGCACGCGCCCCCTAGGGTTGCGTTCAATTTTTTTGCGCCACGTGGCGCGCAGCGCGTTTGAACGCAATTGAACGCGACCCCGGGGGGTATGAACGCGCACGTTTAAACGTGAACGCACGGGGACGTTGTAGATGACCTTCTTTCACCCCAACTTCTCGTTTTCGATGTGGGTAATGGCGGGCCTGACGTCCTTCACTTTCCTTTTTTTATATTTATTTTTTACTTTTTCTTCTCCGCCTTTTCTGTTTTCTATTTTTTATAATTCTAAAACCTTATCTGTTTCCCACAAAAAAATATGGGGTTGTAGGGATTAAAAATCCCTACAACCCCATTTAAAAAAAAAAAAATTTACCCATTATTTAATTCAGGAAAAATATGGTAAATTCATGTCTGCGGCGCAGACGAGGTCGGCCGCGGACGTGGCCGTATATACAGCCGCCATCCGAGCTCGACCCCGCGCACGGGTGTTTAATAGGTCCGAGGCCCAATGCGCCCTCCCCAGTATTCAACGGGGAGGGCCCGTTGTACAATTCAACAGGGATTCAACGGGGCCCCAACGACTATTCAACGGGTACAACGACGTTGAAACTTTTTCGTTGCACGTTGAATAGACACATAGTGGGTGGTATCGTTGCCTTCGTCTTCCGCCACGACTAGTGTAAATTGTTAACGGAACGGCGTAGGTGATCGCTGGTGAAAAAACGATCACCTTTGTATGTGAAATTGATGGTGTTTAATACCGCCGGTGTGGTGCATCCCTGGTGTGTCGTTTTCCCAATCTTGCATTTGTAGGCGACCTTTTTCTTAAATGATGGCGTGGTTAGCCTCTCGTTTTTCATTGTTTAGGGTTTACTACTTCAATTTCGTTGCATGCATGGAGTGCATTTTGAAATGACTTCGTTTTCGTTCTTTGTTATCGTTTTCTTATGTGCTGCATGCATGGACTCAAAGATTTGAATACCTGTCGTCATTCAATAACAACCTGTCGTCAGAATGGTTGCATGCAGTATGTTGGAACGAAATGAAACACAGGCGCACCCGTCACACACACACATTCACTCACAACGATTGCATGCACACCGTCGGAAGAAAGTCAAACACAGGCACACCAAAGACACACACGTACTCGCGAAGAAGACGACTGTTAACCTCCCAAAAAGTACATCAACAAATCCTTTGCGAACGTATTGTGGACTGAACAGAAGCGGGCGTGAAACCCAGTAAAAAAAAAAAAAAAAAACGTGGGGAAGGGAAATCCCAACGCATGTCTGCGTCTGCATAATAACACCAACGAAATTGTAAGAACAACATCAAACTACTGCGCCCAAAGATCGACTGCGACGTGTCAAAACCCCAACCCGAGTGGCTAGGACTGCAGCATCATCAGTACTGATGTCTACATCGATAACGAACACTCGAAAAACTACCGACTCATTATCTGGTAACTAACAACTGATCTACGGAGAACCGCAGACTCCATCTGAGACTCAATGCGACGACATAGCGAAGCCAGCACAAAACACTGGGAAGTCGAATCCTCTCCACTGCCCACTCTCCCGCTCTCAGAACTCTTGTTGTCCACCTGTGCTGCGGGTGCGACGTGGACATCCACCACCGGCCGTCATCAACGAATACTCATCCGCCCAGCCAACGCATCCCTTAGAATCAACGCATCCCCCGTCGAACTGTCCATGCACACGGGCGGACCCGGGGGGCGTTCGATCCCCAGATCCACACGCCGCCGAACTCCATTGGCGTCCACCTCCCAAAGCAAATTGTCGTAGAAGGGGATGCCGACATCGATGAGAATGTTGTGCAAAATGCACACGGCGACGAACTGCTGCGGCAACGTCAACATATTCGTCTTGTGTGATCGCAGGAACAACCTCCACATACCCTTCAGCCTCCCAAAAGCCCTCCCCACTGCCCCCCTCACGGTCTTTTGCTTGTTGTCGAACCTGAACTCGGACGACTGCTAACTGGTTCCGCCATAGGGAACGACTATCCATTCCGACGGCGGGTACCCATTGTCGCCTAGTAGATAGCCACGTGTCTGCACTTGGAAGGGGAGCATCACAGGCGGCCCTGTGAACAACTCCTCGGCCTCCGCGCGCGCCCAAAGACTAGAGAGGTGAATGCCCCTGACGTCATGACAGCTTCCTGGATATCCAATGAAAATGTCCAGCACACGTAAGTCGAGATCGAAAACGACCTGCGCGATGACTGAGAAACGTCGTTTCCTGTCGAAGTAGTCTTCACCAGGTGCGTTCACCGGCTTGTCGATGTAGATATGTGTGCAGTCGATACAACCCTGGCAATTAGGGAACCCCTTGTCAGCGAAAGCACGCAGAACGACCGCCTTTCGCACCCCATTCGGCCACGACACCTTCTCCCTGTACACCGCCAGCACCGCCGCAGTGACGTCCCGCACCGCCACCACACCCGTAGCTTTGCCAATGTCGAAGTTGCACGTGCTGCTCTCGTACGTCTCCCCGGACGCCCATCTGTACAATGCGTACGCCACAATGTGGTCTTGCTGCAACGGCTCCCTGTCGAACGTCACACGGCGGCAACGGCACTGCAGAAATGGCGATAGGTTTTCCGTAATCTCTCGGAAGACACGTGGCGACGTACGTAGCTTATCGTGGAAGTTCTCTTCTGTGACGTCGTCCAGAGGCTGCAAATCCTCCCACGCCCCTCCCGTCCTCCTTTTCACCCACCACTTGGGTGTGACTCTAGGCATACCGCCACAACCTATGGAGCAGCACAACTGGAAGACAACGTCGCAGATGGCAGCGGTGTCCAGCCCTGCAGCCGGCAGCACCTACATCGCCTGCATCGCCTTCCTCCTCCGTGCACGAAGTTGCGCCTTCAATCTCCCTACACTGCATTCCATCTGGCAACGCTTAAGCACAACGCTAACGGCCGCGGCAACAGCTGCCCTTTCAGTTGTTGACAGGTTCGAACGGTCGTCGTCGGTGACATTCCCCATCGCCGCACAGGGTGCAGAAGACATCGCCTTCAACAGCAGCCAACAGATTTCGACGACACACCAACACACAACGGAAACGCGACTCGTGACGACCACGGGGATGGTGCCACGAAGGACGCTGTGAGAACTGGCAGGATACTACTTGATTATTCGCGCACTGACGCGAGGACGAGCTTCGTGATGACGTCTTGACCACTTTCCCCGTCTCAACTATGATGGCGGAACGGTTGTCCCTTCGCCGCCCCAGCCCGACCGTCGTCGAAGGATGTGGTTCCACGATGACGTTGTCCGCCGCCCGCCGCAGGCGCCACCGGATACTCCTGCGCCACGCCACCAACTTTTGAAATTCAAATTTCGAAACCAGAGGCCCGCGCGCGCGTATTCCTTTTTTTCGACCCCGTCGCCGAATTTTGAAATCTCCCGCCGCCAGGTGGTGGACCAAGCCCGACCACCCGGACATCACATCATGGACCGCCGCCCGACGCCCACTGCCCCGCCCCCCGTCCGCGTATTTTATTATGATCATCCCCGCGGCCCCTCCTCGGAGCATCCTGGGGAAATCGTCCCAAGGACCTCGTGCAACGGCGGCAAGAAATTCCTCGGGCCCTGAGAATGCCCAAAGGAGTGTCTAACGAGCCCTTGAATGTAATGCTCAACTTTCCAAAAAAAAAAAAAAAAAAAAAAAAAAAAAAAAA